TTTTCTTTTTCCACAAATTGAACACCTGTCGCCTTCAGAACTTTTTTCTTTATCAACAGCGATTGACACCTGCTGTTGATCTGGCACAGATGATGACCTCTGAGACATTTTCCCAGATTCCACACTTGGAACATCCATGGATTCCTCACTGGTCATGTTGGCATCAGATTTCTCTACCTCTTCCTCTGCTACTTGGCCTTCTGACTTATCTTCATTAGGCGAGACCCCGCATTCTACATTTGTTTCTGTCATAGTTCCTTCTGATGGAGCCTCAGGTGGCATGTCTTGTGTAATTGGTGACATAACCGGTGAAATAAGAGACATTTCCTTTCCTTGCCCTCCTGTACCAATTTCCTCTGCTGAAACCCTAGCTCTCTTTTCGAATGAATCCTCAGATTCTCCCTCACCAGATAGGTTCCTCGACCTCTTCAGAGAGAATTCTTTAGACGGGACTTGACTTGATAGAACCTCCACTTCTTTGGCGGAAATGTCTCTATTTGTGCTGCAGAATCTTTCCATCGGTAGTTCAGGCGCCGTTTTATTTGACGTTTCCTTTGAGGAAATATCTGAAGGCACATTGCTTGATATTTTCTCTATCTGGTCATTAAACATATTTCCTGATACTGAAGTCTTCATGCCACTGCATCGCCTTATTAATTTGAATAACGAATCCGGCGTCGAATTTTCTTTCGATTCAGAAGAGAAATAATCGCTTTTGGCTAAATCTTTATCTGATTTGCTTTGGGAAGCAAAATCAATGAATTCTCAGACATTTCCCGCAGTAGAGACTGACAGAACAATGAGTTGGTTCGAACAACTTGAGATCGAAGAGCAGTCTCTTCCTCCAGGGGAAGGTAATCCTCCGGAATGTAAGGTGGAGTTTTGTCAGCCATGTTCTCGGGGAAAAGTTTGCTGAGAAGGTTTGGCTGTGAGGGCGACAGCAACCGTGCTCTGGAGATCTTCAAGTTTCTCCTAAATGTTCTAGTAATTCTTCACAGTGTATTCTGCAAAACAGAAAACACATGTTAGTTTCATCTACACCTATTTTCTAATTACTAAACAGAGGTTAGGGCATAAATCAGTGGGACTAATTGGACTTCTGTCAAATGTTTGTTCCTACTAATTGAGAGATGTAATTTTATTGTTTTATACAAAAATTAGAATCTTACTGACACCAGTTTTAATTACACTAAGAGATATCCGGTAGAGTCTGAAATGTGATTTTCAGGAACGACCGTATGAAGTCTACGGTATATCATACAATTTTGTTTATTTCAAGGTCTCTAAAATGTTATTCTTACCTTAATATTAATCCAGCAATTGTTATCTAAGTTCAAACACCAGTGAATTTGCACAACAAATTTCAATATCTTCTTTCCTTAAATGCACAAGTATGCTTCAAGATGGTAGAGTGACACTTTCTAATGTTGCACTGTTTTCACGTTGCTCACCGAGCGAGCACTGACTGCAAGGTCGGTGTGTCCGCTATTTATAGGGCTCCGACGCGAGACAAGTTGGAACGCGATATCCCAGCTGCGCGCGCAATACGCTCGAACTTGTGCTGATATTTGTTTTCCTTTTTGGATTTCAACCTTGCCTTAAAATGGAATAAAGTATACATACATGCATATACACAAATATAAACAGATAAACAGGTACAAGCACTGTATAGATAGAAAGATAAGATATACGGACAGGTGTATGTGTATGCATCTGTGTTGAATGTAAACATATCTTTATCCTGAATACTCGTGTGTCCGAGCGTGCGTGCGTGCGTGCGTGCGTTTGTGTTTATGTGTTTGTGTTGTACAATTTTATTACGCTTTCGTTATTTGAGTTAATATTTTAAGGTAATGAATAAACGCAATAATCAGATATCTAGACTTTTCGGCAAGAAAGTTAATCCTGATATTTAAATGTGTATTAATTATATCATGAATATCCACAAACCTTCATTCACAATAAAATTATGAATAGGAGGATAGGTAGAAATTTGGATAACAGATAAGACAAACATCTAGATATGCGTATTCGTACTTGAGTATGTATGACTATATGCGTATCCCTATGTGTTATGTTGATGCATTTGTGACTGGTGTTGGATGTGTACATATGTATGGGTGTATGTGTGTTTCCCTGTTTTTGATGTATGTGTGTATTGTGTGATTTGTACTATAATTACAGATATTCCTATGCAGTTTCTCACATTGCTTTTCAATGTGCTAGCGACACTTGGAAACTCTCACGGGTTGAAACCTGTGATGGTACGTCACGACTACGTCACGGAGGAAGGTTACGATGCCGTGGAAATCCATTATGATATATTTCTTGTTTTTGTTTAACTATTTCACATTTTCCCCATCATTTCTTTGCTCTTATCTCTTTCTCTCTCTCTGCTCGCTCCAATCTTTTTTTTTTTTTTTTTCCCGTCGTTTTCTTTCCTTAGTTCCATTCGTATCTTTCTTATTCTTTCTTGTTTTCCATTTCTTTTTCTCTGCCTTTCTGCCATCCTACCATTCTTCTCTATTCACTTGTATATCTTTTTCTTTCCTGTACGTTAATTTTTCATTTGTCCCATTCCTCTTTTCTTCTTTTTTGCTTCCTTTCTTTCTCTCTCATTCTCTCTATGTCTTCCCCTTAAATGTTATTTTACTATGTTACTTAGTAATGCGCTCGAGAAGAAGAAAATCGAAATGTGATTGACTTCTGAGGAAATTGAGACTATATATAAAACGTATGTATAGATACATCAATATACATACAGATAAATGCGTGTGTTTTTATATAGATAAATAGATATATATACATTCCATAATATCAGTGACATTTTAGGGACAGTTAATGACTCCGTTAGAGCTGTAATCACATCAACCATGATTAGCAGTTAACATTGCGGGTAATACACAACTAATCACCAATTTACCCTCGGAAATCACTCCACATCAGTTGCATGTTATCACTGTGAGTCTAGTGTTCGGCAGGTCAGCTGATCAGCGCATCCCGTCTATGTGCAAGCAGGGATCGATAACTAAAGCAAAGTCAGGTCGATGATCAGCTATTCTATTGATTCCCACTTTTATCTCAGTATAAAATATGCACAGTGAAGTGTGCGAGTGTGAAATCGCACACTTGACGACTGTTCATGAAATTCATCACTTGCCATTCCCTTCCGTGACGTCATATCGACGTAGCACAACAAGTCCCAACCCGAGAGAGTTACCAAGTGTCGTCTGGGTACCGGGATGTTTTTACTTATGTGCGTGTCTATCTGTTATGTGTATATATATACATATATATGCATATATGTGTGTGTGTGTGTATACATATGTATTTATATGTATGTCTATATATGTATATATGTATTTATATATATGTTTATATATATGTACATGTATATATGTATGTATGTATAGATAGATAGGCAGACAGACAGACAGCTACACACATATATATACATATATGTAGTATGTATGTATATATATATATATACATAAATATGTGTGTGTGATCATATATGTGTATGAGTATATATATATTCATATATATATACATATGCATATTTATAAATAAGTATATATTCACATATATATGTACATATATTCATAAATATATACATTTGTGTGTGTATGTTTATATGTGTAAATATATGTACGCATATATGTATATATGTGTACATATATATATATATATATATATATATATATATATATATCATATGTGTACATATGTATACATATATATCATATATGTACATATATATCATATGTGTACATATATATACATATTTATCAACATATATATATATATATGCATACTAATACGCATTTAAGTATGTATATCTTTATGTATGTACTGTATGTATCATTCTATCTATGAATATATTCATGCACTGTATATACTAATACATACATAAATCTCTCACTCTTTCTGTATATATGCATATGTATAAGCTGTGTGTATATATATATATATATACATATACATATGATGTATGCATATATGTGTATATATACATGTATTTATGAATATGTAAGTATATACATATATACATGCATAAGTATATATAACCCTATAGTGTAGCATCCCGAAATCCCAACCACTTTGATGTAATGTTTGGTATTATGTCATGTTCATTGATGATGATATATATGTATATATACATTTTTGTATATACTTAATTTCTATAGATATTGATAGAGATTTTAAAAACAGGATATGAAAATGCTTAATACAAAAGAAATATATATTTACACTAAAAGCTTTTAATGTACAGCATTTGAATGACTAGATATATTTTGTACATTATTTACATAAACGAATAAATAATGTGTTTATATTAGTATATGTGTCTAGTAATCTTCCTCTACAAAAATAATATAAAATAATTTATAAATATTTCGAGAACCAATAAAAAATGTAAAAGAATATAAACATTTTACCTGAAATATTTCATTGATAATTATTCATCGAAATTATAACACAATGTTACTTTTCTATGTTTGTCCCAATACCCGAAGTTTGTCCAGTGCAATTTCTTTATATAATAGATAATTAAAAATCTAATGCCTCAAGTAATTGCTGTTGAAGATCTCTTGAATTCATGGTGTGTGAATCAGATGAAACTCCCTTTGAACTCATTCAATTTACATAGGATTAAAGAAGAATTTCTTGGTGAAGCCAAAGTACCTCAATTCAGGTGAGAAACTAGGAGAGCTCTTGTTGTATTCTTTCAGGAATTCTCTGTAAAAATCACAAAGTTCATGCTCAGCAGCATGTTCTGCCAAAGTGCGACACAAGGACCAGCTGAAGGAGGTTCCTTTCCCATTCGGGACGCAGTTCACACCAATGCTGTTCGAATATAGACAAGCCATGTCGTTCAGGGGATCTGTCAACCTCATCACTTTTGGACTTTCACTGCTTGAAGTCTCGATAACTTCATTCATGTTAAACAAGTTAAAAATGAAAAGTTTGGGTTTGTTTTTGAGCTGAGGACATTCGGAATCTTTGAACGCATTCAACATATAGTCGATGTCTACACATTTCATGTCAGACGTAAGAACACTCCTGCCATTTACACTATATCCACAAATGACAAATATAGCACATCCGACGTCTGTTAGCTCATCACCATCCCTAATGTTTCATGACCTCCTTAGTCTGCTGAGCCGTGAGTGACGAGTGTGTTTTACACATGTTATCCCATCTTACAAAACATGACAATTTGCAAAACATCACCACATTGCTTGGTTGTGAACGCTGCAGTTGAAGGAGTGTGCATCTGCTCTTGTTTTCCTCACAGCTGCTCCTGTATCTTGTATTAATTCCTGCACTTTTACCACATCTCCATCTTCCACTGCTTTGAAGAGCTGACCTATTGACCAATAATAATTTGTTGAACTTTCGAAAACATTTGGAAATACTAAAGCACAATGAAAGCCAAAATATCAAATATGTGATATAGAAACAATTAGGTATGCCTACTAATGCTTACGTTACCTTTAACTTGAAGACATGAAGTGGTGTGTGATTAGCGATGCGTTTAGCCAATCTGTTTGTTAAACTTCGAGTATAAATGCAGTGTTTGAATGGAGTCTTCGTCTCTTCACCTTCATAACATTAACCTGGGAGAACTTGGACTTTCGTGGAGACTTTGGTTTCCCAACAAGTGACTTTTGGGCATGGGCATTTGGCTTATTTTTCGAACGCAGTTTAGGATCTGCAGGACAATTTCTTTTCCCACAAATCGAACACCTGTCGCCTTCAGAAGTTTTTTCTTCAGCAATAGCAACTGACACCTGCTGTTGATCTGGCACAGATGAACTCTGAGACATTTCTCAGCTTCTGCAGTTGTTACATCTGTGGATTTCTCACTGGTAGTGGTTATTTTCGAACGCAGTTTAGGATCTGAAGGACAATTTCTTTTTCCACAAATT